ACAGCTAACATAATCATAATTATATTATTTTTGTTGCAACCTTAGCAGTTCAAGCTGTGAAAAATATCTCGTGTTTGTTTTCCCTAATTAAAAATTTATTTGTTATGAAGCTGTGATGAATACTAAAAAAAATTATTTTGTATAAATTAGTCCAGTCTCTATCGGAGAACGTCCGCCGTCACCGAGTCGCCACTGTGTAATGACCGACCATCACCGCTGCAGTCGACAGTTGTGGCGGAAATTAAATTATTGGAGTAGTGGGGAGAAATCACAGGCTCCATTTCACCGACTTCGAAACGGCCGGCAGGTGGCAGCACATTACAGATGAAAAATTAAATCCAACAACATAAACATGTTTACAAAAAACAAACGTTACGTTATAAAAAAATGATTTTTGAGCGAAAATACCTATTATGAGATTTACTAAAGACGATATTTCAGAGATAACTTCATCAGAATTATTTTTTTTACAGACTTTAAATGGTAGCTGTAACTGGGGATGGGAAAAATGAATCCGTTAAGTGAACCAAATCATTTGATTCGACTCACTAAAATGATTCGTTTGATTTGTCATTCAATCGTCGATTTAGTTTTTAGTTCTTACTATGTTTAATTTGGTTAGAGGGTTTAGTCCCATTTTAAAAATCCAACAGATCTCAAAAATATAAAATCATCTGTTAATTATTTATTAACAAGTAAACCCTTTAACCAAACATATATTATTAAAGAGGTATTATAAGTGTATAGTCACTAATTTTTTAACCTTTATGTGCTATTATTATTTATTCAATCCATATTTTTATACTTTTATTTTGTTGTAGAGTCTTTAATCAATCATTACAGTTTTTTATAATTGAAATATTTATGTTTATATATAACTTTTATTCTAGTTATCAACTAAAATTGTACACAAAACACAACTACTGTTAACATACTAAGGGTTTTTACTCGTTTATTATAATAATAAATAAATATGTATATTTTAAGATACAGGTGTTAACTTGTAACAAAAATGTCAAGGTACAGGAATAGGTGACTGATATAAATGAATTGTTTTTTTGAATTTTAATGCAAAGTGGGTACCCTTGATTTCAAAAACAATTCTAAGCAAAGGAGGATAGTTGGATATATTCAACTGTCTAGCAGGATAATTTATTTTACTTCATTAGTGATAGTTCCTAATAGTGATACAATCTATTTGGTTAAAATGAAATAAGTATGTACAGATACAAATTAAGTAATAATTATATATTGCAGAGTAGAGTGTACACATTGAATTAACACATTTAATGTGTGCAGTAAAGAATTATTAATATTTTATGGAATTCTGTACTAATGCATTAATATTTGTGGTTGGTTTTTAAATTAATTTTAAATGCCATTAATGATAACACAATATGATTAAAGAAAATAATTTTAAAAAAACGAAAGTCTAAGTTAACATATTTGTAAAAAGAACCTTCTTTAAACGCTTTTTAAAATGTTGGAACTTTACTGTTTAGGATAATAATGAAACATACTTGGACAATGTTGAATGAAAATACATGCACAGACCATGGGCGCCCATTAGGGTGGCAAGACAGGGCACTTGCCCCCCCCCCCCTGGACAAAAATATTATGAACTTGTAGCTCAATAAATATTACCACAATATTACCTTATTACCGAGGCAAATTATTTGTTGAAATCACTCTTGACATATGAAATAAGTATAAAAATATACTCATTGTTATTGTATATTAATACTAACATCATAGATAGGATTATTCTAGACATTTAAAAGGCGGCTTATGCAAACATTGTGTTGTTATTCGTCCTGTCGTTAAAAGAGGATTATTAGGAGCGTTCATTGTTATAGTGCGGTCGACGAAAAGTAGGCTGCGATCGTCACGCGCCTACCGGCCGTTTTACGGCATGGGTCTCCAAACGTTTTCCCGCCTAATATAATTTCAAATCGTGTAATGTACTAACGTTTATAGAAATAAAAAAAATTATAATAATTATAGTACTCCCAAACGTAGAACCCCTGGATTTACGAAAAACGGCCGTTAGGCGCGTGGCGATCGCGGCCTACTTTTCGTCGATCGCACTATAGTTAATTTACCAAGTATAAAGATTTTCATTTTCATGCAAAAAAACTTAAGCAATCTGAATGGCATAGAGATTCGGTTTCTCAATCAACAGATTTTTTAAAAATTATGTCCAACAAAGAAAAAAGTGTTATAGATCAATTAAATATTGCTCAACACTCACAAAATATTTAACAAAATAGAAAAAAGCTAGTCCTTATTTTGTCATCAATAATATTTGGTGCGACACATGATCTAGCAATTAGAGGCAAATTTAGCTGTAGTGGAAATTTTCATGATCTTTTAAAATTTTGTGTTGAATTTGTAGATAGTGTTCTGTCTGAGCATTTATCGACATGTCATACTAAAGCTAAATTCAAATTAATTAATTTTATTATGTGGAAATGTATTATGTGATCAAATTGTTCGAGAAGTAAATAGTACCTTAAGTTTTTCACTATTAGACGACGAAACTTTCGATATTGCTGGCATTGAACAACTTTCGATTGGTGTTCGTTATGTTGATAGTTCAAAAACTATAAGAGAAGAATTTATAGGATTTAGTGCACTACAAACATTAGATGCAGTTGGTATAACTACTTCTATTTTGACATCTGTTGAAAAATACGGTTTGGATAAGAATAAACTTGTTGGCTTAGGTTTTGAGGGGTGTTCAGTAATGGCTGGAAAGGAAAATGGAGTTCAGAAAATAATTTGTGATAAATATTCTAAAGCAACATTTTTTCACTGTGCTTCGCATATACTTAATCATTGTAAATGATTTGAATGCAGTGACAGAAATAAAAATACTGTAGGAGTAATTAAAGAAGTTATTAATTTTTTTCGTGAAAGTATACTTCGTCGAAAATTGGTTACAAATATACCACTTTTGTGTGATACTCGTTGGTTTGCGAAATATAAATCTATTCGCATTTTTGCTGAAAACTTTATTAATATTAAGTCAGTTTTAGAAAAACTACTCATAATAATGACTCAGATTTTAAAGTTAACCCCACTAAAAAAGCACACCAACTATCACGTGCGACATCAACATCACAATTTATTATATCTTAAATATTAGGTTTGTTCCAACACGCGATCAAACTATAATGGAACTGGCGGGAGCATGCGCAGTAAAATTTTTCCGTTCCAACACACCCGAAACGCAAATTCAAACTATCAGGCGGTTGTTCCAACGCGTCATTATACGAGTTTTAGGACTGGTTGTGGACAGTCAAAACGGTCCGCTGATTCCGACGGGGACTAATAGTCAGAGAAACTATTATCATATATTTATTATTCATGTTATCAACATTTCAGTAATATTTCTTATCAATTGTACGCGTTTGAATTTTCACGTAACGTTTATAAACAATTTTATGATATTTATATAAACTGTAGGTACCTAAAACATATAAAATGGAAGGTATATACATGTAGTTTTTTACTTTAATTGCTTTTTATTTTTACTCATTTATTTTCAATTTCAGAACTAAATGAATTCATAGTGTTAAAGCCTGTAGACACCTTTGCGCACCAAGATGAATGTCGTTGGAATGTAAATAATTCAAAGATGTTGATTGATTTATATGGCAAGTATGAGGATAAAGTTGGATCGTTGAAAATTAAAAATTTAAAGAAGATGTGGGAAATAATTTCTGAAGAAATGAGCCTTATCTATGAAATGAAAATCAACCCTAACAATTGTGAAAACAGATGGCGTGTACTAGAAAGAAATTATAAAAAGTACATTGAAAACAAAAATGGCACAGGGAGAGGTAAAAAATATTTTGAATTTAGTGAGGAAATGGATAAATTATTTGCTCATAAAAAAAATGTCTATCCAGAAATTTTACTTTCCTCTGAAGATGTTCATGATCCTACTGTTAATGATGAAGATTTGTTTTCTAGTGAAGTGGAAAGTCCTTCAACATCCAAATGTAACACACATAAACTAATTGTAAGCTCTAAAAAAGAAGAAATCAAAAAAAATTGTAATAAAAAAATTAGTACTATAGAAAAAATTAGAGTAGATAGACTAAATTATCAAAAACAAAAATTGGAAATTGAAATGGAAAAATTAAAACTACTTAAAACTAGAAATGAGCTCATAGAGGCTAGAAATAAGATATTACAATGTCAATGTTTAAAAAAAAACTAATTTTAATTTTTATATTATGTTATATACCTTTTAATAGTTGAGGCTTATGACTATTTTTAAAACCAAGTGAGTGTTATTTTATTTTGTTAAAAAATGTATTTTTAATTTTTATATTATGTTATATACCTTTTAATAGTTGAGGCTTATGACTATTTTTAAAACCAAGTGAGTGTTATTTTATTTTGTTAAAAAATGTATTTTTAATTTTTATATTATGTTATATACCTTTTAATAGTTGAGGCTTATGACTATTTTTAAAACCAAGTGAGTGTTATTTTATTTTGTTAAAAAATGTATTTTTAATTTTTATATTATGTTATATACCTTTTAATAGTTGAGGCTTATGACTATTTTTAAAACCAAGTGAGTGTTATTTTATTTTGTTAAAAAATGTATTTTTAATTTTTATATTATGTTATATACCTTTTAATAGTTGAGGCTTATGACTATTTTTAAAACCAAGTGAGTGTTATTTTATTTTGTTAAAAAATGTATTTTTAATTTTTATAATATTATGTTATATACCTTTTAATAGTTGAGGCTTATGACTATTTTTAAAACCAAGTGAGTGTTATTTTATTTTGTTAAAAAAGGTTTTTTTAATTTTTCATATTATGTTGTTTATTAATAAAAAATAGAATGTTGTTAAAATATAAACATTTTAAAATAATGTTAGGTTCAAAATAAATAAAACAAAGTATTATGACAGTTTTGTTTATTAGGTATATATTTATTTAAATAGTTACAAAATTAACAGTATATATTTATCTATTTAAATAAAATGTTCAGCTACTATTGTATCCCTAATAATTTTGGCATTGTAGTCATCCACAATGTCCTCTTCCTCCATAATCTCCATAATACCTTGGGTTGGAGGTGGTGTTTCATCAAGTAATTCAAGAAAATTATCATCAAGGGCAATGTTGTATAGAACACAACATGCTCGCATAAAATGGACAATTTTTACAATGTTTCTAAACTTTAAGTGATATAGCTGTCTAAACTTTTGTTTTAAGATTCCAAAGCAATGTTCAATCCTATATCTATTTTGACTCAACTTTAAATTGTATTTCATTTGCCTTCTTGTTAATTTTCCTCTATCCTTGAATGGAGTCATTAAATTATTTTGTAATGGGTATCCGCTATCACCGAGCAAAAAATAAGAACCACATTTTGCTTGCAAAGAATTACACAGTGGTGAATTTCTAAATACCCTACTATCATGTACGGACCCAGGATAACCGGCAAAGAAATCTATAATTTTGTTTTTGTGGTCACATACAACCTGCATCTAAACAAATTTTGTATTGACAATAAATACATGTAATAAGGTTAATCAAGCAATCGCGTGAATACTTACTTGTATTGAATAATATCCTTTTCTATTGATGTATGAATCTGGATCTTTATCGGGTTTATCTATTTTAATATGGCAACCATCGATAGCCCCTATGGCCATTGGAAATCCATTCTCTCTGAATGCCTTTTCTGATTCTCTTTTTTGCTCATTATTAGGCCATTTGATAATCTGGGGTGAATAGTTGCTTAAAAAGTATGTTACTCGTTCAATAATTCTATGCAGAGAGCTCAGAGTAATATTAAAGCGATCTGCAACATCTCTAAAGCTAGCAGTTTGGTGCCCAACAAACCACATAAAGATAATAATCTGAAACCAATTAAGGTTTTGTGTAAACGACTAATATTATATGACAATTTACAAACTTTAATAATTACTTAGTTTACATTATTTAAAATTATAAATGTATACAAATAAGTTGAGATAATGTTACCATGAACAAAAGTATAACTTGATTTGTAAGTTAAAATTTCTATAGCAATAATAATTTTAAAAACAAACCTGGTCATCTGCAGGTATTTGACCAAATTGTCCATACTTGTTATTTTTAAAATAATTACTATTCCTGTACAAATGAGCAATCATTGTTGAAACATGACGGCTGATCCGGAAATGTCCAAAATATGTTTCATTGTCATATTGTGGTACAATTTCTTCTAAACAAAAAGAAAGAAATATAATCACTAATAAAAAAGATTCTCACCATCCTGTTAGCATTTACTCACCTAAAAAATTTTCGTTTCTTTTTTTAGGGATATTAATTAATTCTAATTCGTCTTCGTCTTCAGATGAAGAACTAGACATAAGATAGTCATCCGAATCTTCAAAATCACTCATTTTGATTTTATTTAACAACGCACCACAGAAATATTAAAAACAAATTTAAAAAAAACAACAAACATCTCTTATCTTATTATCTACATTTTACAATCATTGATAGTCCGAAAAGCGTTCCAACTGATCTAAGAGTCCGTGATTAAGCCACGTTAACGCATGCGCAGTAAATCAATCACGGATCAGTCGGCAACTAATCCCAAATGCCATGTTGGAACAAACTTAATATATAGCAATATTATTGCTGGTTATCAATAGGGCTTTTAAAATGATAACAACTGTCAATTTATGAATTAATAAGAAATAACGATCCATTTCTGTCTTATGAGTTATGACTAATATGGTTTCATCATCACGTATTTGGAACGGCCACCATAATCATGTCTCAATGTCGACGCAGCTGTGGACACTTTTCCTGATCGTCCATAACGCATTTTGCCTTAGACTCTTGGAGTTCAAAATTGAAAAACATAGTATCGTAGGTAACAGTACCAGACTGCAGTGTGAATACGATCTACAAGGTGAACAATTATACACAGTTAAATGGTACAAGCAGGCACGTAGTCAGAAAATATTCACTAGGTGGGCCAATATTAGATGGGCCCCCTACCTAAATATATTACCTTGTACCTTGTAAGGGTGGGCCCTCTACCTTTTTATATTATAAAAAGGTAGTTATCAGAATATCATTACTATAAATATATAAGTATATAACCTAAAAATACCATAGTTTATCATTATGCCAATAATAAGTGTAATAAAAAAAAAAATTGATAAAATACATAAATAAAAATCAAATACAAATAATACTTTTAATAATTATAATAATTAATAATAATAAAATTCAAATAGGTATTCAATATATAGACATAATCTTTAAATTAAATACAATTAATATAATTTATGTTCTAATATAACAGTATTTTTCTATTTTTATGTTTAATAGAGAATCTATTAACAAAATCATCTAGGTCCAAACTTTTGGCAATTTTTTTTCTATACAAATACTTGACAAACTGACGAGTCGGTCATTTGACATACAATTTCGCATATAATTTTTTAATCTTCTTAGACATGAAAAAGTCCTTTCACATGCTGCGCTGGATACTGGAATAGTGATTGATAGAATGGTTAATTTATAAGTTTCATTAAATACTATTTTATATTTTTCAAGGAGATCGACCAGATTCATTAAGCTTTTAATTTTTATATTATTTTGGATTTCATATTTCTTAATAGTTGTAGGTAGTATTTTAATTTCTGACTGGAACATTTTTAAATCTATATTGTAGTGAAGGGCCAAAGGTTTTAATTGTTCATAGTTTAAAAAATTTTCATTTTGTGGATGCAAATAAGATATGGAAGATAGTATATTTGTATTATTTGTAAATCGTTTGTCATGTTCATTAATTATGTAATCTAATGTTGGTAAAAATAAATTAAGTTTCAAATCAGACTTTGAAATGAATTTCTGTTTTTCTAAAGAACTTTCTTCTGTAAGGTCTTCCTCTTATCACTTATTATGGCTTGGATCATATCATTAAAAATTGACAACATTTCATTTTGAATCTGTGGACTGGTGTACTTGGCGTTATTTGGTAATGATCTTCTTTTTGATTTAAATTCATCATTAAAATTTTCCATAAGGTTCAAAAGTTCTACAAAATTTCCACGATTGAGGCTGCTTTCTCCTTCATTATCACCTCTTTGAGCTATGCCTTGTACTGCTGTATACAACAAAACCCTTCCTATTGATTTAATGAAGTTACGGTTTTCTTTTACTAGTTTCAGATGTCCATCATTTATTAGAGAGGCCACAGAAACATAACCTGCTTTTTTCATATCTAAATAAGATGTCCACATTGCATGGGAAGTTTTATGATCATTACTCATATGGTGTTTTTTTAAACCACTATTACTACCCAATGCATTTTTCCAGTTATTGTAACCTTCATTCACAAAAATGGATTTTTCTCTATTATTCTTTAAAAAAAATCGACACGGAAAACAGAAAATAGAGTCGTTGATGATACTATACTCAATCCAATTATATATTTTATACCAACTCAGAGAAAAATGTCTCATCCGATTACCATACTTTGTTTTGGGAAAACATACCAATTTAGGTTGATTTGGTCCATTTTCCAATGTCTGAGAAAGATCTCCTGGTCCAGATATTACTTTATCAATCGAGTTATAAGTAGGATTAGGAGCTGATATTACTTCATTAGTTGTAGAATTACTTTCAATCTCACATTTTTCTGATTCGTCACTACTGTCAAAATCGTCACTGCTCGTATTGATAAAACCTGCATTTGAAAAAGAATTGACAGTTGAATACTCTTATAATTAAATAAATATTAAAATTGGGAATATTATAGTGAAAGAATATTTAGAATATATATATATTTTTTTTTAACCTAACCATAAGTTATGGTCAAACAAAATTATATTTTATTTCTTTATAGTTTTTTTAAGAAAACGTGTAATGTTGTAATCATACAGTGGTTATATCACATTGCAAAAAAAAGAAAAAACAATTTAAACCGATACAATATTTTTAATTAATTTTTTTTAATTTTTTAACTGTTATTTTTGAAAATATCTTTTATCCATTGGAAACTCTAATTCTTTTAAATCCAACTCTTTATCTGATCAATGATCATATTCAAATATTAAAAAAAAAATTGTTAAATTTATAGAATAATAATAATAATTATTATTATTATTATTATGTTGGTTCATTGGTTATTTTTAATCATTAAACAAAAACCTACTTTTCTAAAAATTATCTAATTACCCATAAAATGTTTAATATATTTATTTAAAATGATATTCTATTTAATATATTTAAATATAAATATTTAATTATAGTACCTACTACCTATTACCCTATTTTAGGTCTTCTCTAAGTAACTATAAAATATTTAGTTTTTTTTAAATCATACTAGTTCTTATATACCTAGTGGTTTTTTGATATTGTATTTTTATATGAGGAGTTGTTATTTAAAAATAATTATCTTTATAAACTTAAAAGTCCGTGAATCACCATTTATTAGACATTTGTTGTGTTACAGGGGAATCTAGAAGTTTCTTACCAGGCTTTGAACCGAAAAATTCTACTCTGGAAGCTTTATCTATTATAATTGGGCAAAATAAATATCCTAATTCCCTCACAACTAACGAGTAGGACATGGGCATAGGTTGTCACGACTATCTGCGGTCAATGACTTGTTCCCATGAGAAGGTTGGCTAATAACTGGCTTCTCTTTGGGATACAAACTTACTGGCCAATTTAGTACGCACCAGCCTATTTCCCATGTCTGTGGATACGTGCTTAGGCGACCTAAATGAATAAATAATTAAAGATCCAGAACAAGAGAAGGTAATTCTAATTTTAAACATGTTTTAAATTATAATATACAGTAATAATTTTGTTTTTTATTAATTTATCCACAGTATATATGCATAAAACCCAGTGAAAGACATTATTTTACAACCTTATTTCGAGTTTTATTATGTAAGTATTATATAGAGTTACCCACTTCAAATGCGTCTACCATTGATGATAAATTTGGTTGTATTATTTCATCATTGTTTTTTGTATTATTTACAGTTCAATATGAATTCAAAGACTTTAACTGAATCAGAACAAAAGAAAAAGGATGAACAACTTAAAAGGTATATATGACATTTTTATTAATACCGTAGAACGGAGTGAAGTAAACCAACAGTTATGAAGTGGCCCATTCTCATTTTTTTTAAAGTTGATCAGCATAACTTTGACATGGTTTTATCCAAATTAATTTAATCAATTCAATTTCCATAGCAATATGGTGATACCGAACAATTTTTTAAATATTAATGTTACCAAAACTTCTTTTTTATTTTTATTTGGAAGTCTTTAAAAAGTCATTAATATCTCAAAAGTAAGCAACTAAATTGAAAATGTTCACACTTAATAATCTTATCAATAAGTTCATTTGAATTAATTTTTTCAATCATAATTGTAAATTTGTTGTTGTTTAGTTTTTGGCGAAACAATTTGTAGACAATTTTAAAAATGTCTGTTGAATCGGACCCCCTAAAAACACCAAGAAGTAACTTGTAATTGTAATTGTCTCCTATAATTTGAAGTACACTGAACAAAATTTAACACTGAAAGTTAAATCTTTGACATTAAATCAAATTTCTTTACGAAAATTATTTTATAGCAATTGTATATTTCTAAATTTAGCTTATATTGCTTATATTACGAATAAAAGGGGAAAAATAATTGTTATGCTCAAAAATAGATCTAACTATTTGAAAAAAAAATGCAATTTAGTGGTCCACTTCATAACTATAATTAATCTAAGTGGTTTTTAATTAAAATCAAATAACCCATATGTTTGACACTGATTCTTTTATTTTTCCAGAATGCATTTTTGTAGAGCTTGTGGTATTGTGATGCAACAGATGATAGCTCACAATCTTGGGTATGAGAACCCGACTGATGTCACAAGACCACAAATGGAGGAATATATTGAAAAAGTAAAACGTGAATTTGCTGGTATAACTGACATTACAGGATGTATATATATGAATTTATGTGGGCAAGAAGCTCTAAACCCTGTGGCCATAAGAACAGTTGAAAATTGGTTGCGAAAGAACGAAAAATTATTAAATGTGTGTATACTTTTTTGTTTGATTAATAGCAATATTATTATTACCACTTTGATAATTTGAGTTTAATACACTCTAAAAGTTTTATTGTTATTCAAAATATTACATTATAGTTTTTTATTTTTATTTTTAGATTTTATATAAAGTAGAAGACAAAAAACCAGTCAGAAGTAAAGCCATCTGCAGAGATAAAGTTTTTCCCAAATATTTCCTGCAGACAACAGATTGGAAATATAGAAGTGACTTACCAGGCTTTGAACCGAAAAATTCTACTCTGGAAACTTTATCGATAATAATTGGACAAAATAAATATCCTAATTCAAATCAAAAATCTCCAA